TGCAAATTCAACCCAACTATTTTTATTAGCTCCACCCTCTAGCAAGAACCCCCCCAGACTCAACCCCCAGCCCAAAAAGTCCCCCAGCCACAACAGTGTGAATTCCTCAGGGAGGTGCCAGCCTCATCCTCTTGTTCCTCCCACGCGGTTCTGGCGAGCTAAGTAAATGTTTTTCTCTCTGAGCCCGGCCTTCATAATTTCATTCCATCACATCGTCCCTGTTTAGATGGTTTTACTGAATACAGGTCAACGAATGGCTATTAAGGCTAAACAGAACTTGCAGGTCAGAGGCAACGTGTCTCTAGCCCTGCACTTGGCAAGCCACCCACAGCCCATATCTCCTATCACCCCCAGGTCATATTACTAAAAATTGGCCAAATGACAGAACGTCAGTGGTGCAAAATTCAGGCTGTAGTCAGGGAGCTGGGGGGGTGGATTTTAAGGGTAAGGATGGGGGGGGTTGCCTCCCATTCCCATCCTAAAAATTCCAGTGAAACATACTAAAAAGGGCACCCTAGAAAGTGATGTCACACAGTGGCTCTTAATCAGGAAACCAGATTGCAGCCCTCTTAGCTGTAGTCGCAAAAATGCCCACACCCAAATGCCAGGCCCACAGGGAGAAGTCACCACCAAGCTCATGGTATTTAGTTGATGACCTTTAATTTCCCTTTTGTCCCTGGGCTATCCTACGGGTTAGTGTGTGGGTTGGACAGCAGTGCCCTTCTGATCCACTCACCTTGCAGCATCTTTACAACGACATCAACGATATGCTGATCTCCTGTGTCCCTGCCCTGGGGAATGGAACAGAACCAATGGATTGTGATCTTCTCCTATATCACAACGGCAGCAACCACGATGCTCTTAATCAGTTTGTCAGGACCTGAGATCCTGCGGGGAGGCTGCAAGTTTTTACACTCAAGCAGTGTCCTCTGCTTCAGTTCTCATGCAATCTTCACTCACCTCCCAGCTTCTGGGCTCAAGCATGTCATTCCTCTCCCTACCACACACACACAAGCTCTTGCACTGAAATCTTCAACCACAGATGCAGCTTTTAGTGGGAACTTATATGCAGGATGAATGATGCCTGGAGAAATGTGCATCACCTGTACTAAAAACAAGAAGGGAGCCATTTTCCCCCCCCCTTCTGTAGGGAATATCTGACACTCCAGCACTCGCAGTAGCGGAAGGAACAAGGCACTGACTGAACAACCAGTTTTGCACTCTCCTATAGGTTGGCTGGAAGGAGCTTTGACTGGTATCTGATGTTCCAGCCAGTGTCAAGGCTAGCAGGAGTGAAGAAGATAACCCAGACAAAATGCTCTGGCGAGACTGGAAAGTGGAAATGGTGCTGCGTGGAAATATTAATAGTATGAACTTTGGAATCCTGGTGCCCTTCAGGTTGCAAATCTTAGAACCTGCTGGCTGGGAATTCTTGGAGTTGCTATCACAAGCCTCTGTTCCTAAACCTGATGATGAGAAATGTCACATGGATTGTGACATTACAGGGCAGAACTTGTATTGCAATGTCACAAGGTACTTGTCATCATTTGCCTCCTCCCCCCACCCCCGCCATCTCTCCTCCACGGATACCTGTTGTTGCAGTCCCAACGCAGCTGAAGAGCATAAAGCTGGAGAAGAGAGGTTGGAGAAGACAGGTCTAATTTGCACTTCTCAGCCATAAACATTTAGTCAAAATGTTTCATTTGGGATTCATGATCCTCCATAAATGAAAGATTATTCTCAAGATCGTATCACAATGAAAGAGAATGGGTGGGTGGGGGAGTTAGAACTTGTCTGCTACTGAAAAATGTGGACAGATTTGTTACAGATGAAGTCCAGCAAAATGTTCTGCAAGCTTAAGGGTTATTTCCACTCCTCTTCTCTGCCTGCATTCCTGACGATCATGTACATTAATCCCTGAGGTCAGAAGCAGGAGAAAAGGCAGTGAAAGAGGGCTGGGGAGCAGGGCAGTAATAGTTAAGATGCTGAGCTGGGATGGGAAACATCTGAGTCCAAGAACCCCCTGAGTCCTCAGAAACTCAGTGTTGATTATGGCTGGAGAAAAATTATAAATTAAATCATTCATAGGTATGTGTGTCTTCCTTTCCTCCACACCATTGAGACTGCAAGAATTCCTCTGGAGATGCAAAGTCTAGGACCTGCTGTCTAAGCAGTTGATTGAGCTGACAAAACAGCTGGATTTTGGAGGATGAAGAATCCCTCCTGGATTCTATGTTGCATGCATATTATTACATTATTACTATCTATCTATCTATCTATCTATCTATCTATCTATCTATCTATCTATCTATCTATCTATCTATCTATCTATCTATCGCCAGGAGTCAACACTGACTCAAAGGCACTATATATATATTGAGCAGCTGGATAGCATAGTGGTTAGAGCACTGCTCTTTGACGTGGGAGACCAGAGTTCAAATTGCGGCTGGTACCTACCTTACCAGTAGGGTTCCTTGCACAGGACCCCTAATGCTTCACCTGCCTACCTCAGATATGAGAGTGACACGAACTAAGAGAGTCATGCTGTCTTGGATGTCGACTGGATTAACAAGGTCTGCACCAGCTGTTGGGGAACCAGGACAATCTGATGATAAGTGGGCTACTGGAACAAACCATACAAGACAAGAGAACCTGGAATTGATGGAATGCTACTACAGCAGTAGACCTAATGAGAGGGGAT